ACTCCTGCTGTCCTGTCGCTTGTGCGCGCAACACTACCACCGCCGCCATAGTGCCATCACCTACCAGCAGCTACTAATCACCTTGCTTTTTTGCGGAGCCTGTTAGTGCGACGGTGGGAGACCCTGCGGTCGGTGCAAGCTGCAAAAGGATGTCGAATGCGTCTACGAGATCCCCGTCCGCCAGTCCAAGGAAACCCTCCGCACCGAGATTGAGCAGCTGCGCCGTCAACAACGCTCCAACGAATCTGTCCTGGCCGCCCTGGCCCGCAATGACCAGTGGGAGGAGGTGGTGCGTCGTCTGCGTGCAGGCCAGAGCGTCGAGATTGTGTCCGAGTGGCTCCATGGTCACAAGCCGGCCGGCTCGGCCTCCATGCCCAATTTCAACAACCGTCCGGCAAGAGGCGCCAACTTCACGCCCATTGCCGCCTTTTCGGGCGTCGGCGCAAATTCTTTCACGCCAACGCTGGGAACCCTTGGCTCGGCTGCTCCAAACAACAAGACTCTGAGTCCCATTTCCACCGCGCACCCGCCGAGTGCCAGACCGGACCTCGATCCCAACAGCCCTTGGGGTACACACTCGCATTTCTCGACCACGAGCCAGGCGCAATCTGGCAGGAGCAATTCGCATCCAGACCTCGCCGGCTGGAACCATGTACCGCCTCAAACAAGAGTCGGACGGTGGGTCGAGGACAGCCTTGCGCAAATGCATGAAGCCGAAGGACTGAGGTTTGGGAGCATGGACGATGCCATGCTCACAGACTTGACAGAAGTCCATGTCCCAGCCACGACGTGGACAAGTATCTCGGCCGACCGGGCTTTTGTGCAGCACTTGCTGATGCTGTACTTTTGCTGGGAATATCCAACCTTTGCCTCGTTGAGCAAAGAGCACTTTCTCAAGGATTTCCAAGCAGGCCGTCCGCGATTCTGCTCGCCCATGCTGGTCAATGCGATTCTGGCACTGGGGTGCCGCTTTTCGCGCCAGCCGAGTACGCTGGCGAACCCCGACGATCCCTACTCGTCCGGCGACCACTTCTTCAAGGAGTGCCAGAGACTGTACGATCAGGAGGATGAACACCACAATCTAACCACCATCCAAGCGTTGGGAATCATGTCCATCCGAGAAGCGAGCTGCGGAAGAGATTCGGAAAGTTGGTATTATGCCGGACAAAGCATCCGGCTGGCGATTGAGATGGGCCTGCACCGTGTGAACGGAGCCACGGGCGATAATGACGAAGTGGCCGTACAGGCTGCCACGTTCTGGGGTGCCTTTTCTCTGGACCAGTGAGTTGGCATGTCCCAACATGCTTATTCTTTGTTGCTTCCTACATTCAGGCTAATACAGTGCTCTCAGCGCGTGGTCTCTAGCCACCGGCTCCCTTCCGCAGTGTTCCCATTACCCTTCCTTGCCGCCAAAGCCAGCGATTATAGAAGACATTGAGGCTTCCATCTGGATACCGTACACTGACGATGGTGTGTTCTCCCAAGATCGTAGTATTCCACTTTTCCCCGCTTGAAACCAACGCCGAACGCTGACTTTGATCTGGTAGGTGCGCCATTGCAGCGTTCTTGTGAGCAGCCGTCCAACGTCCGGTCCGTGTACAAATGCTTCTGTGAGCTGAGCGAGCTTGTGCATCAGGCATTATATATGCTGCATTCGCCCGGCCGGCCCATCACCAGTCGTGAACTCCTCAGCATTTATACTCAATTCCTGAACTGGTACGACAAGATACCCGAGGTCCTCCGGCTAGGACACAACTTTACACCAGCCGTCTTATTCGCACAGTGAGTTGCTCCTCTGGCTTTCCAAGGTCTCCTAGGAGCCGCACTTGGACCTGGCCGTTCCTGATCAATCTTGTGTGCACAGCATGTACTACCATTTCGCGATACTCCTCCTTTTCCGACCATTTATCAAGATGCGCATCATTGGCTCAAGCATTTCCCCTCGCGATGTCTGCTGCCAAGCGGCCGATGCCATCCAAGGCCTCCTCCGCTCCTACTCGCAACTATATACTCTACGGCGCACACCATCCTTTGTGCCCTATTTTGTGCTTACTTCCTCCATTATGCACCTTGCGATTGCAGCCTCCGACGCCTTGTCGGCACAACAACAAGCAAGCAACGGTTCTGGCCAACAAAACGAGCAGGTGCCGCTGCCCGGCAAGATTGGCGATCGAGTGGACAAGGCAATCAACCAGGGCATTGCCGATTTGACAGAAATGGCGCCGTGCCATCATTTTGCCGAACAGGCACTCAACATCCTCCGGTATCTGGCTGGAAAATGGAACATTGAAGTAGACGTCTCGTTCAAGCGCGGGACCGGAGGCACCAGTGATCGAGAAGACAGCGAAGGAACGACAACGCCCAAAGATGCGGCGGCCGAGGCGCAAAAGACGGACTCGGGCACCCACCTTGATGGTCATGCAACCTACGGAACGCGCACGGCAACCAGCAGCCTCAACTTCTTTGCTCCGGACGTGCGGCAGTCGGACTACATCTCGACACTGACAAGCCCGCAGACGCAGGCCTTGTCGGATACTCCTGCTGCGGCAACGGGTGATTGCATGGAAAACCCTCTCTTTTGGCCGTTCCCCATGCAGGGACGGCCGATGATGCCTAGTCGGCCCATGATGAAGGAGGCTGGATTTGAGATGATTCCTTAGGGACGAGGACGAGTGACCACCAAAAAGGGAGAAGGGAAGGGTAATGGTGATTTGAAACCTTTTGTGTACAGTCATGCAGTCATGCAGTCATGCACTGTTACCCACATTGGACCTGTTCTACATTTGTTTGCGTAACATGGCTGAAGGAAAAGGCCATTTACAGAACATATTACCCGCAAGTGGAGCGGCGTAGGTAGGACTTGGATCTAGTTAGCAAGCTTTTTAACATGATACAGAAAACGCATTTATCGTGCTAGCAATTTGTGGGCGGGGTGAGTGGAAGGCAGATTGAGGCTGACTGCAATGGGCGAAGCGGTATGCTGAAGTCCAAGATGGGCCTGTTGAGAGTGCGGCAAGTGTGTGCACCTGTCGGATAAAACTTCAACATAGTCGATAAAAATGGATGAAATAAGTATATGAATACAAGCAGTCGGGTGACTAAGGCGCTAGTAAAGGAGGAGAAGGATGAAATGAACTGGAGTCACAGATTCACAACCTTATCTCAAGCTACACGGATGGTGCCATGGGTTCACTTCTCATATCATGATGTGTGTGTAAAGCAGTTATTGGGGTTGTGGCCTTGCAAGTTGCAATACGCCTCTCTCAAGTTCTGTCCCGACTCGAAGCCAGGACCAACCCAGGAGCCGACCTTGCTCCCGTACATATCCCAAAGGACTCTTCTGCAGATGGAGATGGCATACAATGCTTGGTGGCAAGTCAATCATTATATGGCTGCTTCATTGGTCTTTTGATTGTTGATTAAAGACTTTGTTTCAGCTTCCAATCCTCGATGCAAACACCCTCACACTTCTGCATTTTCAGCTTTCAGCATCGGAACCAATGTTGAAAAAAGGCCACGAGTTCAGACAGCACTGCAGAGGCATAATGTTGCCTGAAAACGCCGTCGTTTTCTGTCTTGGTCTAGACTGGACTTTTGGTACACATGATGACAAACCAGGGAACAGGTGCACAGTGGTCTCTGTCATTGCAACTCCAGGCCTCCGGTTTATTTTGTCAGCGGACGAATTTAAACCACGTTCCTCTAGACCTTTCCCAAAAGCTTTGATTTCTGTACGTTACATGAAGCTCAGCCCACAGATGTTGAATATTTTGCTCATTACTACTCTGGAATTGTTACTCTCAAACTGCAACTCTGAGAGACAAGACACATCGTCACGGAAAACTTTTATGGTAGTCAAGCTTGACTTTTGGCGGAAAACGTCAAGGAACACCACGACCTCGGCATACCTTGAAGAATTCTCAGAAAGTAGATAGCGACAGAAGGCATTTGATGAATTAACAATCAACGTAAGGAGACAGACACTTTCTGTTTTGATGTATTATTTGCCTTGAGGTTTTGCCAAATAAATGTATACATGTGGTGGCTATATTTGCTAAACTAAACAGTCGTACATTTTCGGAAAGACTTGAATACTTTTCCCCCTCTGTACTATTTTGTCAAATCGCTCGTCTGTATGATGTTGTGGGAATCAGGTCAAATGTGACATTCGCGAACTTTGAATTCTCCGAGTCATCGTCCAAGTTCGAGCGGTCACATCGCTCACCTAAGTGGCTTCTGGTCTCCTCGAACTTCTTAGCAGGGACAAGCGTGCTGAAATCGCCTGCCATCACTCCTGAGACTACAATGTCATAGAATTGTAATTGGAATATCTAGTTAGTATCTTCCTCAGAGACCTTTTTGGCTTCAAGAAGCGCTTTCCTCAACAAAATGAGACTCGCCAGCGCTTGCCACGACGTGCGACCAGGGAAAGTGGACAAACCATTTATCTTGCCGAACTCGACTGTTCTCAATTTTCGTCTTTCATTTCCATCCTCCTTTTCTCTTCACAGCGTCTGGCGTCCATGTTCTAGTAGGAATATCAGCTTTCGACTTTCATCCCTCTATCATGCATGTTGCAGCGACACTCGTCAATTGGGCTATTCGAAAGGGCATGACGACTCTACCAACATTCTTGGCTCCAAAATTCGTCTTGGAGAATCTCTTGCCCCCTGAGTTCGACGGTTTGGAGGCTGACGACCAATGGGTTTACACAGAGTCGTTATGTACTTCCTACCAGACCTCATCTCGGTATTCACATCAGTAACGGTGGACGGGTGGAACCCCTGAGTCTTTTACAATACGTTTCCTGCACTCCCACAAGGGGGCACGAGCTACAAAATTTGAGGTGAACAGATCTGCACAGGATAAAAGATCGTGACGGTTATTATGCAGCAGATAGGACTCTAAGGATCCTGCTCGTTTTTCGACAACATATATGTATGTTCTTAGCAGGTGAATTCACGATATTTAGAAGGAAAGGGCAAAAAGGGAAAAAGAGATGGTCCCGGAGGGGGTCGAACCCGCGACCTTCGCATTTATTACTTAATGTTTCCTTAACAGGAGATATTAGTACGACGCTCTAACCAACTGAGCTACGGGACCAATTTTATTTGATGGAACTCGTTTCATACTTGGTGTACTTACCTCATTGACAAATTTGACTTGGTGAATGAGGACCTGAGTCTCTCGCCGCGGTTGTTGCTACACCGTGCAGCTGAAAAATTGGGAGTGGAAGGCTTCGTTGCATGGGACCGGCCTGGGCGTCCGCATGATTGATTCAGGCTTTCCCGACATTGACGGAAGCATTCTCCGTTTCTCCATCAAGCCGCTGCGGCGCGGCCTGTGGAGGATCGGTGTTACATTTTGTACGTGAGGCAGACCAGATCACACGTCTTGGCTCCCCAAAGGGGTAAGTCTCTATCCCACCGCAGGCAGGACAGCACGACATGGTCTTGGCATTGCGGACATCCAATCCTGTTGGAGGGTGGCTGTGGTCCTTTGTTGGTTGAGTCCCCATGGTGCAGTGTAATGTGGCTTGAGCTGCTTCTACTAGGGTAGCATTATCGATGGAAAAGCCCCATATGGGCAAAGATTGAATGCAAATAAGTAGTGTGGGGATCCCCGGCCTCTGGATTCACCTCTTGGTGTCCTGCGAAACTGGGAAAGTTGGTTCTTGGCCTGGCTAACAGTCCCACAACGTCATGTATATCTCGTGGTCGTGCCTCGCGGTGATTTTAAAGTTTTAAGCTTTCCGAGCTTCCTGGTCTCGTTTCACGTCATCATCTCGAACCCACAGATTGTCCAAACGGCTTGATTTCCCACAGTCCCACACTCCGCCTGACTTTCCTCGGCTCAACAATTGGCGTTCGTCGAGTTCATTTGACGCCTTTCTGCATCCTCCTCGCTTATCGTCGACCGCTTCGTGGAGGTTGCACGGACTGTGTCTCCAATTCACGCATCGCTGATTGATTGAGCGATTCCTGCAAAGTCATTCCTATCCTCTTTGGCGCCATCGGATCGATCCGTGGCTCTCAAAACGGTCTTGCGTCGCCGCCAGCCCACAGCCCCCAACAGAAGGATTGCGTCTGTACAACGATTCCTCAGCCTAGCTGAAAGATTAGCCTCTCGCAATCGCAATCGCAAATTACTGTTTGCGAAGGACAAGCGAGCTGGGGAGGGTCCAGGGTGATATCTGCGGGTGAAACTCGACTGCAACAGGGACTGCAGCCCCCAGGCCAGTGCAACCGGACAATATCTTACAAAGCATCCGATTCCTGAAGGGATTCTCGACACTTTTCTTTCTTGTATCCGTCCTCTGTTACGTGACCAGCTTGTGGTCGCAAGGCACTCTTAGCCTCTGTCACCATCAAATCTGTGCAAAACGCTTTCTTCAGAGGGCTGTTGAATCATGATTTGCTTCTCCAGATCTCGAGGCCCATTGCCAGCAGTGGTGTTTCTGGTCCTCTCTGTGGTCAGGACCGTCTTTGCTGGAGAGTTCACCTCCACATGCGCAAGTGAGTCTCAGCCAGACTATGATTATCCATTTAGCTACCCAGTTACTCGTTATTCCTTCAGCAGTCTCGCTGTCACGGCCAGCAAACGGCGTACAAGTGTACACTGCAGCGCGCTATGCAACATGCCCACACGAGCCGTCGTCTGAACAATTCATCCCTATGGGAGTTGGACAATAGTGGGATGACCAATTCGAACCCGCATCGACCAACTCAACTTTCGAGTAGCAGTGGTCATCTCAAAACATTGCTAACGCCGTATTTCTTCACTTTTCCAAAGACTACTACCTCGGCAACGGCGTTTCCGACTCAACCGGCGAGTTGTTCATCGAAGCCTGGTGTCACAAATGGTCCGACCCGGCGGAGCCTCCGGCGGGCGGCATCTGTACCCGGTTGACGTTGGCAGAGTGCTTCAAGAATGTATGTCATGTCTCAAACCTTGAAACGATTTTCATTCCCTGGTTGATTTCCTGCTACTCGTCTTCGTCGACTCATCTCGCTTTTCTCTTATCTTCCTCATCGTTTCGCGTCTATGAACCTCTGTTCCCATTGCAAAAAAGCAGTAGCTCTATGAAAAGCTCAGGTTACAGGATCCCACAGCATCTCGACTAACATCAACACCATACTTGAAGGACAACGGCCAGCTCCGCGCCCTGAACGAGGCCGAACAGCAGCAACAGCCGCAAGAAAGCCTCGCCGCCACCTGCGACATTGAGAGCTGCGCCATCCGCGGCGATGCCTGGGATGGGCCCATCATGACCTGCTACTGTCTAGACTTGGAGAACGAGTGGCAGCTGGCTAGTGTGAATCTAAGTGAGTCTTTTTTCTTTTTTTCTTTCTTTTTTTTCTTCCGGATCCTTTCTTTTTCCCCTCCCCCTTCCCCTTCAATGATATCAATCAGCCGCGTGGAGTAGAAAAATTGGGAACTTCCAGTGCTGCAAGGTACTGTACTCTTGCTGTATTGTGCTATGCTGACATCGGGGTAATCGTGTGGCCACGCAGACGACCATGTCGGTAACTACGACGGCCATCTCCGCTGCAACGCCGTCACAGCGCCGGAAACGTGCCTGGACCCGTCGTCGCCTGGGTCTGGCTCTAGCAGCGAGCTGAGATGAAGAATTTCTTCCTTTGACAACCCATCTATCCGTCTTCTCAACTCGCACAGGTGGAAGGATTTACGGTAGACGGATCAAGTCAGCACACAGCAGAACCAAACACACGACTCGATTCATCCAGGGGGAGGGAGGCAGAATGTGGCTCAACTTGGAGCTCAATTCGTGGGAGCCATATTAAGCCAGTATGGAGGAAACGAATCAACGGCCTCAGACTGAATCAGCCAGCCAGCCAGCCAGTCTATGGATTTACGATCTCACAACCTGGAAAATCAAATAGCCACACGCTGTCGCCGAGCTAATCAACTCGAGCAACACGCTGTCCGCCCGACGAGACAGTCGAATTTTTTACGGAGGGCCATTCAACTCAACTCTCACCCAAAGAGTCAGTACCGCGGATTTCTGACATTCCCGAGATCAAGCCACTCCCACACTCACGATATCACCACATGCGACGCACGCGACGCGGGGACCCCAAAGAGCGAAAGCTGAAAAGAAAACCTTGACTAGGCATCTACTTTCGACAACAATCTCTAATCCGCGGTTTGGCCAAACATTTCTTAACCGCTACATATCAAACGTCAAGTGCCGATAAGTCTCCCAGCCCAGGAACAACGGCATATTCCATACTTTCACCGAAAACACCCAAAATTGGATTCACACAACTTGGATACACGGACAGCCCTTGCTTGCTCAAGAAAGCTACATGCAAGTTTGATGATGAACGGTCAACGAGGGGCTTACCAGGGCATATACAGCATAAGACATGACGGCCTTGCGCATATCGGCTTGGGTCGGGATTCTGATGTGGATATGCAACAAATACGGATGGCAGTGTGACCACTCCAAGGAAAAGTAGGCAGCATCGGGAAGAAACACCTCCACAGCCATAACCAACCTAGTTTGGTCCCTTTGGAAGGAAATTGAGCGTTTTACCGGGAGAACGACTGAGCAGTGAGTTATTGAACAAGAGGACTACGGACAAGGCCGAGACCGACGATATGCTACGGGACGACGCTCTTTGCGCTCTTTGCGACCCTTGTATCGCGTTGCAGCGCGTTCAGAGTCACCACAGGTTTGGACCGACTGATGGCGTATCCGGTCACCATCGGAGAGACAATATCGCCGAGTAGTTGGCGATAAGATAAGTGAATGAATCAAACTTATCGCTACGCGGGTGCTGAAGTGGGATTGGAGACATTTTCGAGAACAGATTTGTCGGTGTCGAAGACGAAGATTAATCTGGATGTCAGTTCAAGAAGAAGATTAAGAAGCCTGACAAAGAGTTGGAACATGTTGCCATTACAAGCGTTTATGGTGGAACAAGTGGCGAGTCTGGCGAGGAGAGCGTATGGGTTATTCACAGTATCGGTAACAACATCATTTCAACTCATGATTCATCCTTAAGAAACTTCAAGCCTTAGAGGGACTTGAGACCCGTCAACTTAGCTGTTGTGCATAATACCTGAATCGGTCGCCAAGTATTCTTGGGCTGTGTTGGTTCCAAACGTCCTGATCGACTCTTCGAATTGACTAATATACATTCATTTAGTGATTCTTCTTCTTGGCAGCAGCGCTCTCGTCCTTGCGCCGAAGTATCTCGGCCTCCTCATCTTCAATGGATTTGTCAATCTTCGCGCCGCGCGATGGCTCGTTGCCGTGCAGTCTGGCGGGCAGTGTCGGGTCCAACTCAGCCGCCCGGTCCTCAATCGTCTTGTGCTTGCCACTACCCTCGTGGGGGTCATTCTGATCCTTGGCCGCTGCAAGTCGGTTGGCTATGCTGCGCTGATCCTCTGTTATTTCGATTGTGATTAGTTGTGGTCAATCAAGTAGTGGTATGCGCTGCAAGAAGCAGAGATCTAGCCAGAATACTCGCGTGCATATAAAGCAAAAGCGCAGGGACGAGCGGGTAACATCGAGGTGTGCAGCGAAAAGGCTCATTGGATTGACAAAGATGGGGCAAGAAAGACAGACAGACGTACTGGAATCATTATCTTTGTGGGAATGCTCTTGGCCCTCCTCGAAGCGCTCGACCTGGTTCTCGGGTCTTTCAGACTCGGGCAGGTTGCGCTGGTCGCCGGCCTCGTAGACGCCCGCATTGCCTACGCTAGATTGTCCAGACATACTGTTATTCTGCTTTGGAGGTCTCAAGTGAGGTGAGTTGTGGTGGGTCTTGATTGTTCAAGCCGTTCTTCAAATATCAAAGAAACGGAATTGTGAATGCTTTTTGTTGATGTTCAGTTGCAGCTGGTATTAGAGGCAGGGTTGGAAGTTGAAGGAGAGGAAGGGAAAGAAAGTGGTAGGCAATAAACACCAACCCCTCTTTCCTCTTTATAAAGAAACCACCACCAAGAAAGAGCTCTCCTTCCTCACAAGCTTAGCTCGCAAAGCTCCTGCAGTACACAATAGGCACGTCTTACAACGTAATGGCCGAATAGAACAGACCTGCTGCCCTGGCATGTCCAAAGAGCGGGCGGAC